ATGTTATTTTGTCATAACTAAATAAGATTTTGATTTACTCTCTCCCTAAGTCAGCAATCGAACATGGCCTTAAACCAAATTAACATTAATCCTCATTTTCGTTTTGAGCATAAAGAAATTTAGCTACATTGATATTTAGTGACAGCAGTAGCAGCCTAGGGTTTTGCAAGGCCTTAAGCTGAATATCAATATTTAGACCTTATTTTATTGAGTTTTTAAAACTTTGGAGCATAAGATTATTTATTTATTATTTTTTTAAATTTGGAAGCCTTAAGCCGAACATCAAACTTTATTTATTTATTTTAAATTTAGAGGCTTTAAGCCACCTCTATGCCACGGCTTCAAATTTGGCCAGAAATATTCCTCCATGAAGTATCTGTGGGCCGAGGCGAGGTCAAAGACAGTCAAGTTTGAAAACAATTTGCTGTTGAAGGAATAAAAGCCCAAACCCAAAATCCACAAAGACTTCACCAAATTTATATTTATTTACATGCTCAAGCTGATTGATAATTGATTGATATGAGATTGTAATATATTACCACGCTCCACAGTCAACCTCCATAGGATTCAACATTAACACATTAGCATGTATTTTAATCCAACCTTTAGGCCGCTTCCTCCAAACTCTCTCATCCCCGCCCTTGATTCGTACAATTATGATTGTACTAACCCAACTTACTAACTGTGTGAGTGATTTTCCGATCACATTATCTAACTCAATATTCAGTTGGAGAAAACTGGCAGAATAGATGACACATGGCTGACCTGTAACAGAAAGAGAAGATTCCGGCGGTGGTTCGTCCACTCGGGGGCACTCCGACGATCAAGTCAGTATATCTCTCAAATATAATCAATAGTGCTAAATTCACTGTTCAGAACATAAATTGTCTACCTTAGACGTACGTGGGTGCCTCTCTTTTATAGTTAACTCAATCCTTGTCCCAACAGGAGCCTAGCTCTAATGGACTTAGGATTACTATTAATTTTGTACTCCCAGTAGGATTAGGATAAACTCCCTAAGAGTCTTATCCTTTCCCAATTGTAGTCTTCCCCCTTTCTAGGACTCTTGTGCCTTATTCGCTTATTTCGGATTCCGATATCCTCGGAGGTAACCTCGGCCTCGCCGAGATCACCTCGGCGTCATGACTAGGACACGTGGCACATTGGCTGACACGTCGGCGTCACCTTAGCCACGTGTTGGTACTCAGAAAATATATCCCCACAACTGCCCCCTAGGTTCTACTACCTCGGCATCTAAGGTGACGGAACCTATATCATTCATTCCTGCTAGTACATCGGCTTAGCCGAGATTATCATCATAGGCCGATATGTCTTTTTAAAGATCAAGAATTCCAAGAGCTTCTTCACGCGTATGAGCTGTCATACATAACAACTCAACCGTTTTAGGCCACGTGCCTTCCCCTTACTGGATTGTACTTGTTACGCGTTCGTAAGTCGTCTCGCACCTACATGCGTCGTCTGATGTATTAGCTGTTCCAGGCGCATTAATTGCCCTATTTTTGCCACCGTTCAATTTTTTGACAAAACTTGTTTCCTCCTTTCGTTTTTCTCACTTTACATTATCTTTATTCAGAACTCTTTCTCTCTCTAGCTTCTAATCCTCCATTTTTCCAAGCTCTAAAGCTCTGCAACTTGCACCATCCATTTCTTCGGTCGAAGTTCTTGCCAATCTGTTCCGCTGCCGCCGTTTTTCTGACTTCGGCGATCTCAAGCATCGGCTTCTTTTCTCTGGTAAGTCACCATTCCTCTTGGTTTTCAGTTCTTGTTGTGTTTCATGAAATTTTGCTTCATCATTAGTTGCCATTGTTGTTTTACTTGAATATTTGATTCGCGAATCATGTGTCAGAGCATGTTTATTTCATATTTTTGCTCTTGGTCCATGTCTTGAACACTCGCACTGTTCACATACCTATTGGTTTCTGCCACTGTTCTTGGCCTGATACATTTGTGCAAGCTTTTTGTCTTGATTTCTTTGATGACTTCATCACCATTCTTTTTTCTGAAACGGATCCCTATTTTTCTGTTTTCCAGATTCGTTTCTTCAATCTTCATCCCTATAGTCTTAGGTTTGGGACTTGTTTGTAGAACCTTTGATTTTTAGGAAAAACTGAAACTATTTCCACAAATCTTTACCCAGTACATTTCTTAGGTTTTTTGCCGAGGTCACAATAATCCTTTTAAAATACCTTTCTGAAATCCAACCCCTTCAGTTAAGCCGATATCATGGGTATGTGGAAGCATAGGGTAGATACCCCAACAAAATTAGACTACTTTAGGCGAGAGTTTTCCATCCCTGCCGACGTCCATCTGAGGTTGGCTGGGGATGACGACTCCATCATGCCCACCACTGATTTTATGCCCTTCCCTGTAATGGCCTTTATTGAGTGTGGACTTCGGTTTCCACTCAACACTCTTTTTCGTGAAATACTTCATTATTATAAGTTAAACCCTATGCAACTTGCCATAAACTCATACCGAGTTATTCATGGTATCATAGCCTTAGCCAAACAAGAGAACGCTAGGATCACCTTAGCCGACATCCAGTACTGCTACACCATGTGTGACCTCAAAAAAGATACGGGCTATATTTACTACTTTAAGCTGAGATCCACAGAATACAAAATCATAGCCGACCTCCCAGACTCCAACAAGGGAGCTAGAGATGATTACTTCATTACCTCGAGGAATTGGGAGTTTGCTCCAGACGAGGACCTCCATCTCTGTTTTCTTCCTCGATCAGTTTTTGTAGAGGGCAATGGTAAGAGCCCTGTGTCCATACTTGTTTGTTTCAAAGTCTTCGATACTCTTTATTTGTTTCTAATGTCTGTTTTTTCTTGCAGCTCTTCCTCAGCCTCCAAAAGGTTTCTGTCAGTCTTTCTTTCCTAGCAAAGACTTGAGGAGACTTTTGGATCTGCCAGTTCTCAAGCGGAAGGCCCCTCTGCTTCTCAACTTCATTCCAACGTATAAGTCGGCTCTTCCCGACGTCCCAAAAAAGAAGAAGAAAAGCCTTTCTCCACCTTCTGCCACAACTCCACAAGTTGCGTCCACATCTCGGACAGACCAAGGATCAACCTTTGATCCTGCTGAGCAGCCGTCAACCTCGGCTCCATACCTGATCCCGATATCCCAACGACAACGTCAGCGACGAACCATTTTTGCTGCTGAAATGGGCAGCCAGAAAGCTGTTGCCAAAGATCTCCTGGCCAGCATCCCTTCTGATGTTGACGTTCATCCTACGCAAACACAGCCTCCACCAAAATAGAAAAGAATTAAAAAGGCTCAACCAAAGGCCAAGGTGACTCAGGTTGATACTGAGGACACTTTGCCGATTTCTAAATTGCATGAGAGCAACAAGTCACAGTCTGCTGCTGGGAAGAGGCGTTCTGAGGCCCAACCATCCGAGTCCCCAAGATCAAAGAAGCCGAGGTCATCCTCTGCAACCACCTCGGGATCCAAAAAACATGATGCCTCCTGGGCCTCCAAAATTACTCTAGAAGATAAGCCAGTTATGGCTAACGATAGCACTAATGACATCAACGTCGGCGTAGCCCTCAGTGCTGTTCTGCTTCTCCCCGGTGATCTTGACCGAAACGCCGAGTTAAGCGAGTACAAAAACTACACTCTGATGCTTCAACGCTCCGTTCAAGTAAGTGTCTTTATCTGGCAACTTTTTCTTTCTTTTTGTTCTTTCCATACTTGTAATTTTTTCTAATAACTTATGTTCTGTTTATTTTCAGGCCATCCAGCACACCCATTCTTTCTCAGTTCAATCTTTTGAGAACCGGGAAAGGCTGGCCGAGATGAAGAGGGAGGTCTCCAGTCTTCAAAAGGCCAATAAGAGTTTACAATCAAAAATGAAAAAACTGGAAGACCAGGCTGAGGCTGCCATCAAGGCCCAAAATGATGCTGAAGAAAAGGCAGAGTCTGTCGAGGCCATCAAGAAGGTTCGTAAGGCCTAGAAGAGAGAGGCCGAAGAAAAGATGGCCCAGGACCAAAAAGAACTGCAAGACGCTCTGGCCACCAAAGAGGCCGAAGCCAAGGCAGCCGATGAAAAAGGCTACAACGAAGAGGTGGCCGACGTCACGGCGGATTATGAAAAGCAAGTGAAGCTGGCATGCAATAAGGGTTTCACCCTTGGTTGGATGACCTTGCTGAAAAGGCTTGATGTCCCCGAGGACTCCCCCCTCAGGAATGCTGATGTCCTCCCTCTGTCATTCCCCCCAAGTCCAAGCCAAACTGTCGACGATGACTCTGAGTCCGAGTAGGAGGTTTTGGTGAGAAAGCCCAAGGAAGCTACTGGGGCCAAGTCACCTACTCAAAATGAGCAAGTCCTGGACTTGACTCAAGATGACGAGGATGAGGAAGTCTCCAAGGATGCCACTCCAGAGAAGGCGTCATCGGACGTGCCTCCTGCCGACAAGAGCATAGATGAAACTCTTCAAGAAATTGATGTTGAACTTGCGGCTGAGAAGGTTGCCAAGATGTCTTATCAGCAGTCTTCCGAGGTCCAAACCCAACCTTCTACTAAAGACTCTTGATTTCATGTTTTTCTCTTTCTTTTGTGTACTTTGTTTCTTCTTTCAAAGTAATGTAAACTCTTTAAGTTTCCGATGTGCCTTTTAATGAATGCAACTTCCTTCTTTCTTGAATGTTTGCATTGTTTGTTTTCCCTTTATTGCTTTTTGTATGGCTTTCATACTTAGAATAATTTTGTGTTCTTCAAGATGCGCCATTGTCTTGTGCAATCTTCTCGGGGTGAAACACTTTAGTTTACATCGGCAAGTACATACGTATTTAGCTCAATACTTCCTTGGTTTTAACTTGTAAATTTTTCTCAAATTTCAACAAGTGTTTTAACATTATCTCGGTTTTAACTTTAACTTGTAAACTTTTCTCAATTTTCAACAAGTGTTAAACATCATATCAGTTTAAACTTCAACTTGTAAACTTTTCTCAAGTTTCAACAAGTGTTAAACATCATTTCGGTTTTAACTTGTAAACTTTTCTCAAGTTTCAACAAGAGTAAAACCTCATATCGGGTTAACTTTAACTTGTAAACTTTTTTCAAGTTTCAACAAGTGTTTAAACATCATTTCGGTTTTAACTTGTAAACTTTTCTCAAGTTTCAACAAGTGTAAAACATCATATCGGTTTAACTTCAACTTGTAAACTTTTCTCAAGTTTCAACAAGTGTTAAACATCATTTCGATTTAACTTCAACTTGTAAACTTTTCTCAAGTTTCAACAAGTGTTAAACAACATATCGCTTCTCTCTGCCCCTAATATGAACCTAAGTTCCACTTGGGTTCTCATTATACATGGATTCCAGAGACAAAATTATGTATCTTTATCGGTCACAAGTTTATAAATATAAACAAGCTGAGACTTTATTGACTTACTTCAGCAAATGACAAAAGAACAAAATATTCTAGTGATAGAAAAATTTCAAATTGCAAGTGTTCCATGGCCTAGGCAACTCTTTGCCCTCATTGTCTTCAAGTCGATATGCCCCGTTGCGCAGTATTGAGATGGTTCTGTAGGGTCCTTCCCAGTTTGGGCCAAGCCTGCCCTCCTTGGGATCTTTCTTGTTGCCGATGACTTTTCTCAAGACTAGGTCGCCGACTTGGAACTCGCTTAGGTTAACCTTTTTTATTGTAAGCTCTGGCAAGCTGCTACTGGTATGCTGCCAGTTGAATTGCATCTTTTTCTCTTCTTTCTTCTAGTAGGTCCAAATCTCGGGCTAAGTGTACATCATTAGTCCCGTTCTCTACTCCTTGGGTTCTAATCCCTAGAATGCCGACCTCCAGCGGAATGACAGCTTTTGTGCCATAGGCCATGGCAAAGAAGGATTCCCCCGTTGATCTTCTCGGCGTAGTCTGATATGCCCAAAGCACACTTGGTAGTTCATCCACCCACTTTCCCTTGGCTGTCTGCAGCCTCTTCTTTATCCCATCCAAGATGACTTTGTTGGATGCTTCTGCTTGTCCATTGCTTTAGGGAAAGCTTGGGGTTGAAAAATAGTTCTTGATTTTGAACTTTGCACAGAAGTTCTTAATCAGTTTGCTTTCGAATTGTGTTCCGTTGTCAGCAACTATTGCTCTTGGAATTCCAAATCTGGTGATGATGTTCTTCCATATGAAGCTCTTTACATTGACATATCGGATTTTGGCAAGGGGTTCAACTTCTATCCACTTTGTGAAGTAGTTTGTCGCCACCAGCAGGTATTTTCTTTGTCCAGTTGCTTGGGGCAGTTTCCCAACGAGATCCATGCCCCATTGGGCAAACGGCCAAGGACTGGATATTGGGTTCAAGTCTGCTGCTGGCTGGTGTATCAGAGATGCAAATCTTTGACATTTTTCACACTTCTTCACATAGGCTATTGCATCTTTCTGCATGTAGGGCCACCAATACCCCTGGGTAATGGCCCTATGGGCAAGTGATCTGCCTCTAGAGTGGCTTCCACAAATTCCTTCATGAATTTCATATAAAAAATCTTCAACTTGTAAAGGATGTACACACCTTAAAAGAGGTCTAGTGAAGGATCTTCTATAGAGGTGTCCCTCTGCTGTTAGACTGAATCTTGCCGACTTCAATCTGATCTTGTGTGCCTTCTTGTGGTCGTCTGGCAACTTTCCTTCTTTCAGGAATGTAACAATTGCATCCATCCGGAATGGTCCCATGTCCACACACATCGCTTTGCGCTCTGTGGTCAGTGGTTCGATGCTCGGGCCCGACAAGTAATCAACCATTATGGTCCTTACTTTTCCAGGTTGTACCGCACTAGCTAGGTTGGCCAATGCATCGGCGTGGCTGTTATCATCTCGGCTTACCTGAAGTAGTCGGCAATTCTGAAACAAGGCTGACAACCTGATGACCTCCTTTGCGTAGGCCGACATTCGTTCATCTCGGGCTGCAAACTCACCTGTTGTCTGGTTAACTATCAGTTGTGAATCACAAAAAACTATTACCTCATCTGCTTGCACTGTTGCTGCCAGCTTCAGTCCTGCAATGAGTGCTTCGTATTCTACTTCATTGTTTGAGGCCTTGAACCCCAAATGAATCGATTGTTCTATTATCTGTCCATCTGGAGATATCAAAACTACTCCTGCCCCCACTCCCTGTTGGTTGGAACTCCCATCAACAAACAGTCGCAAGGAGTCGCCGATGTAAATGCTGCAGGGTCTGAGTTTTTCTTCTTTCTTTTGTTCTTTCGCCTTTACTTGGGCTTCTCCTTGCTTGTTTGGACATCGTTCATCTTGGCTCAACGGAGCCCGATGTATGATGGATTCTGGCATGAACTCGGTCATAAAGTCGGCCAAAACTTGGTCTTTGATTGTTGTTCTGGGTCTGTACTCCAGGTCATACTGGCCCAGGGCGACTGCCCATCTGACTATTCTTCCTGTCAAGTCTCCTTGTTGCAGCAAGGACTTCAAGGGGTGTTCAGTTATCACCACAATTTTATGGGACTGGAAGTAATGGTTCAGCTTCTTTGAAGCCATTACCAAAGCCAGTGCCAATTTCTCTAAGGGTAGATACCTTGTTTCTGCATCGGCCAAGGTTTTGCTTACATAGTAAACAGCCCTTTGCTCCCCTTTTTCTTCTCGGGTTACCACTGCGCTCACTGTGTGTTCTGAAACCGCTAAGTACAGGAACAGCTCCTCCCCAGGTTCTGGATTTGAAAGAACTGGAGCTGTGGTCAAGTACTTCTTCAGGTCGGCCAAAGCGGCTTCGCACTCCTCGATCCATAGGAAGTCTGTGGCTTTCTTCACTAAGTTGAAGAAAAGTTTGCATTTGTCTGAACTTCTGCTGATGAACCTATTCAAGGTTGCGGCCCTTCCAGTCAGCATTTGCATCTGTTTTGCCGACGTCGGGCTCTTCAAATCCATGATGGCCTTGA